TCTGTATTTTCTGCACTATAAGGCGCTTCGGAGTATAAGACGCACCTTCAATGAATGGCCTATTTTAAAACTTGGGGCGCACCGCATTGTAAGGTGCGTAGAATAGAAGTCACAATAGTTGCTGCGGTTGCGTTATGCATCCACTAGTTGGAGCTATGCTCAAGGGAATACAATATAATACAATACAGCTTTATTTATATGGAGATTTCACAACTGCTGCAGCTGTAACAAAGCGCTCGACAGAACATTTAAAAGACTACGTCCAAGAAATCAGAATATTGGTCCATAGATAGGGCGCATCGGATTACAAGGCGCAATGTCGGCTTTTGAGAAAATGGAATGCTTTTAGGTGCGCCTTATAATGCGGAAAATACGGTGTGTGTGTGTGTAGGTATTTATCTCTAGATAGATAGATATAATTTATATATTTTGGTAACATTCTTGTGCAAGTTAAACACTGTCAGAACGATTTAACGTCATGATGCATACGGCAATGCTACTTTCAAGGTCAGTCCGCTTGCTTTGTGTGATTTCTTGTGCATATTTTTCATTTGTACTCTAATCATAAGCCTCAGTTGCAAAGTTACAAACACAAACACACACGCACGCGCACACACACACACGCACACGCGCAGTCTCGCCACGTCTTAATCATGACCAAGTCAGCAGTGATTCCAGATATCACCCGCGCAATTTGCAGTTCCGAGCCCTTGCGATGAAGCATCCTGACAAGTCTGCAGATTCAAAAAGGCTGCGGCGTTGCGCGTTTCCTGCGCTGCAACCTCTGGCATCAAAGGCGAGGGAGGAGAGGGATGCCAGATATTAACGGAAAGTGTTTTGACATCCAGCTTTAAGTCATTATTGCATTTAGATAACCGGGGAATTCCATCCGACGCGGGGTAAAACAAAGAAAGAAAGGAGATTGCGAACGATTCCGGCAATAGCGCGAGTGCCGTACTGGCCTCGGGCACGCTTGGCTTACATCACGGACGTAATCACACACGGAACAATGGAAACATGCGCGTTGAGTGCGAGTGGAGCCTTGCGGCCTCCCTGCGAGGTCAACGTTGGGGCACCAAAGTCAGAGACGTTGACTGTACATACTGTACGTGACATTCTTTCTTTTCGATGATTTTGCGTGAGGAGGAGCAAGCGCTCGGCGATTCGTGCTTCTTGTTCTCCACACCAAACAGACTGTGACTGAACTTGTTCAACATCCTGCGTCGGCTGTTGCGTTCTCTAATTTGAAAAGGTAACATGTAATCAGACTTGCTTGTTTTTCCCCGAAAAGGAGCTCAAGTGGAGTTCTAGAGAGTGGAAAGAAAAAAATCCGTGGCTCCGTGGATTGTGTTTAGAAAAATAGCAGCATGCAGTTAAAAAAAAAAAAAAAAAAAAAGTTACAAAGGCGCCAAATGCTCTTGGTTGCTCTTTTTCATCTACGCATGAC